CGCTCATCAACCTGTTTCTTTTCCTGACAAAACCACATATGGAGCTATTCTAACATCACTTTCTCTTCTGTCTTTATGAATCAGTGATTCTACTTCGTGTTCCTTTTATATGTCTGCTCCAGCTGCTCAAACTCAGAGTTGCTTAAGGCACAATACGTTCAAACTGAACCATGTTCTTCTGTAGGTTTTTTCGTGTTAAAGGGAGTTTTTCCTCTCCACTGTTACTGCATGTATACCTTGCATAAGGGAATCCTGCTAAGTCAATGACACCATGGAGGTGACTGTCCACTGTTTTGACAGGCTCATCCAGAAAGGGAGAATTCTGCAAGGTCATTGACTTGTTGAAATCATTTAGGGTTCCTTACTCAGAAAACACTTAACCAAGCTGTCTGCATTATTTTATTGAATTGTCTCTGTTAAATGCATTGAGATGATGTGTCCTGAATTGGCACTATATAAATAAACTGAACTGACCTCAGTACACTCAGGGTACACAGGGTTCATCAAGTTATGCTACATAATCTTTGTTTTATTATTTTCAGATATAACAACAACTATCCCAACCCCAACATCTCCTCCACAAATCTACGGTATGATACAACGCATATTTTTATAAGCAAATCAATAAAAATGCAAAGAGTTTAATAAAGACTGCAAACAAATTCCAAGTTGCAACCCAAACTGTATTTTTTTATCCAAATTTTGTCATGCAAAACTACATTAAGGATGTGGTAAATACAAAAATATTTTGGTTAAAAAAAAAAAAAACCTTTGCTCCTCATAGATGTAATCTGTTGGTAGTCTTAATTATTTTGGAATTTTATTTGTTTACCTCAACAGAAATAGATTTGGTTTTGGAATTACGCATCCCCCTCTCAAGATACACATCAAATCTATTGGGATTGTTTAGGGAGCATCTGAGCAATGAAACCTTCCTGGAACCATTCTCAAACATGTTACAGATTATAGAGTTGAACTTGACCACAGGTAGGAGTATCTGCTTCTTTAAGGCTTGCTTATCTCATTAAAATTTTGCTTGAAAATAAAGTGATCTATGGTTTTCATCTTTTGAACTTCTCAACAGTCTGTTATCCAAACTCCAGCCATGGACTACAGTGTCAATGTGAGAGTGGCTTTGCTTGGCCGTGTGAGATGTGCAACATCAACACTTCATGCAGCAGTCAAATCTGTACATGCATATATGGACTTCCTTCCGTCAATGACTTCTGTCAGCCAATCACAAGTGAGTATTCTGCTTCGCTGCTGCTCATACAAGGTTGGGTCTTTTTAGTCCCAAAGGAGGAGGAGTTGTCATACTGTCCAAAAATGAATATTGTTTGTTGTGTAATGTGATATCTGTCTAAAATAAATCACATAATTGGAGAACAGCCTAACATGACTTCTGTCAGCCACTCATAAGTGAGACTAAACTGATTGCTAGTTTTACTATAACATTTTCTTATCCAAGGGAATGAGTGCACTGTACCGTGTTATAATCACATATTCTGTTAAAAGCTGATCTAGCTTGGTTAAAATACAGTGTAGTCTTTATTATATCACAATGACTATGGCTTTACTTTTTCAAATAATCCACTCTCATTGCTTTACAGATGATTCCATTTGCCCAACACCTACTCCAGGTATGTAAAGGACGTAGATTTGGCTTGATCTAAAATATATGTTCTACTTTATTACTGTGTACTACAGCTTGAACAAGCTGAGTCTTTCAGAATTTCCTTCAAAACCAATGGATGAAAATCAGGACTTCAGAGAATGGAGGGTTTGATGTTTTGCTTTTAAGTGATGTCTTCATATAGAGGGCATAAAACAAGTATTCAATAAGACTTTAAGATTAGAGGAATGTAAAAAACCTATGAAGCTACTAACCAAAAACAACAACCTCTGGTTGGAAATAAAATTCCAGAGCAAATTTACTTCATTATACTTTGCAGATTTACATAGTCAAATGTAGAAGCTAACAAAAACTCCCCTTAGAAGTCTCAAAAAAGAGATTTACCTATCCATTAGGGAAACTCATGGCTTTTCTTAATTTATTATAGACTCTCATGAAAAATATAAATGCTAAGTTGTTAGGCTAGCAAGCAAACCCATGGTAACGCTTATTTGGATAAAGTTCTGTTTATTTCCAAAGGGTCAGGACAGAGGATAGTATGAAGTTTTCCAGAATGTATGTTTTTCATTATCTTTAAACAAAACAGCTGAAAGGATTAGAATAAATTGTGCATATTTATTTTTTATTTACAGTAACTACAACAACAACACCTATGCCAACGACGACACCTACAACAACCTATGGTATGACACAATAAACCTTTTCAAAACAGGCCTTTTGTTTCTAAGAGCGATGCATTATTAATTCTAGAACACGCTCCAAAGCTCTGAGATTAAATATTATAGTAATTTAAGTGCTAATAATAAACAGGTTTTTCCTTCCACTTCTTTGGGGAATGCACATTTAGCAGACCCAATACCAATATCTGCAGTGATTGTGCAGAAGGCTCCCAAACTGTAAAGCTGCTGGGTATACCTGGTCTTCAATAACAAAGGTCCTAACCCTAATTCTATTTACAGTTGATGAGGTTGCAACTTAAGCAATAATTACATCAAATTAAAGATGTAGATTAGGGGTCTCCAATATTTTTAGGTTGCTGACAGATCACCTGAGCCAAACTTTTTTTCAGCTGAAGAAAAAAAAAAAAGTAACAACAAGCAATAGTGTGTCTCATAAAGGTAAGCAACAAGGTCAGCTTTCACTCACCTAAAAAAATTTCCAGGATTAAGGAACCAATTTCTAAGTGGGACCTTAAAAAACTAATTCATGTCATCATCTTTAGTGGAATCGATGACTGCAACTGAGTGTCTTCACAAGTCTGCCTATAAAGTCAATAACACAGCTGCAGCTGATCCAAGAAAGCTGCTGCCTGTGTCCTCACTAAGAAAGTGGAGAACATCAGCTCAGTTCTAAAGACCTTCCAGCTGTTCTCTGTATCTCAGAGAAAAGACTTTCAAATAATTCTGTTAGTCTATAAATCACCAAATGGTTTAGCAACAAAATAGATTACAGACTAATTATCAGGGCCCAGATCTTTCAGAGGGCCTACTCTGCACACTCAGGACCAGCACCAAACATTGAGAAGCAGCTTTTCCTTCTAATGCTCAACTAATTTGGAACGAGCGTTTCAGAAAACTGTAAAAGTGCTAAAGTTTTAAGTCACTTTAAATCAGATTAAACATATTTGTTTAGAGTGGCCCTTTACTGTATGACCTAAAAGTTTGTAGTCTATCTTTAATTGCACTATCAGCAATTGTATTCATTTTACATATCTTGTAATGTACATTTCTTATTATTTACAGCACTTTGAATTGTCTTGCTACTGAAAGGTGATATATATATAAACCAATAAGTACAAACATGCTAAACTACAGTTTGCCTTCAAGCAAGCCTTTATAGTTTTCCTTTGCTAATAAGATCAAACATTACATCTTAAGAAATTTTGAGAAAGAAGTGAAGAACTTGTACTACTACAGGATTCTCTTCTTGAAACAAATGAATGATTGAAACAAAGAAACTTGAAACGATGACAATATTCCAAGTTGTCTCTTCCTCTCTGCAGAACCATTATTCTTTGATGTTGACATTGTCTTGAGCATCCCAGCTGCCACTGTGCCATTAAATATCCCTGAGTCATTCCGAAGTGCTCTCCAAACAATAAACTACCCAATACCCATTTCACGGATAAATGTTCTGCAAGTAAACTTGACTACAGGTAAAACAAGCTGGTCACACAAATGTTTCTGTGTATAAATATAATAAATGATTAAATGAAATACAGATGGATGATTTTCCTTCTTTGATATCTTTATCAGTCTGCATTCCAAACTCCTATGATGAACTGCAGTGTGAATGTGAGGGTGGTTATGCTTTGCCATGTGACATGTGCAACAGCAACAACTCATGCAGTAACACCAGCAGTTCAACCTGTACATGCATAAATGGACTTCCTCCAAATGATGAGTTTTGCCAACCAGAAACCAGTAAGTTTTCTGTTCTGTTGCTTTGCTAATTGATTAAGCACACACAATTCTGGTTTAAGACAAAAGTATTTAATCTCTTGCTATTCACAGATAACTCTATATGCCCAACACCTACTCCAGGTATGTAAAAGATAAACATATGAGTTGAGCTACAACATATGTTATGAAGGTATGATAAAGACTATACTTATGTTTGAAGACTTTGAAGAATTTGACATATTCCTTTTTTAATTCTGAGGGGTCTCCATGCGATAGAGCCTCTTTTGTTCTGGTTGGTGTTTTACTTTGCCTCTTTTCTCTTCCTTAGTGTTTCTAATTAGTGTAGACTTATAAGAAACACTTATATATACTTATATATCTTATAAGGGAGATTATTGGGAATTACTTAGTTTCTCTCTCTTTCTCTCGTTCCCATAATTCTTATCCCCTCCACTTTCCTCACCTTCCTCTCCATTTCTGTGTCCATTGCATGTTTTCTTTTTTGGTTCCAAACTAATTTCTAATAAAGGTTCAAACACAATTATCAGATGGAACCTTATGACAATTAAATTCAATTGAATTGCTGGTTCTATAAGGTTATTGGCCCATGTCCATCCCTGTCAAGAACTGCCTGAGATAAACTTTATCCTTGAACTGCATTGAAAATGCAGTCAAATGCACCAAAATCCAATAATTTTAAACAATTGCAACTAATATCAGACCTATTATAGTTGACTGATAGGCCCTATTCCCATATTTATCTTTTCCAGAAAATCTGCTTTAGGCTGCTTCTGTATGGGCTAAATCGGATACATTTTTGGTAGTTTTTAAAGTGCTTTTAGTCTGAATGGTCTGCACATCTACAGAGATGTTTTTACAACATTATCATCACAGATATTGATAACAGCTGTGTTTTTGTTTTCTTGTCTTTCTTTTTCGTTAATGTTGGAGCCAAGAAGTTGTTGGCTACCATTGCTCCAAGGTTTAAAAATAACATGGAGACCACATCATCATTATAATTTTTTTTAACAGAGATTTATTGAACACCTTGAGTGACATTCACATTTATCATTACTTCATAAAGAATGCATTGCTGTGTGTTGTATACATTCATCTTTTGGGCAACAGGTTTTTTTTTTATTTCCTGGAGCATTCAAACTGAAATCTGATAGTTGTTGCATTTAATTAGCTGTCTGAAAACATTATGCAAAAATCATGCAATCGATCATGAAAAGAAAATCGAATTTAACATTACTGTTTATTAGTAGCTTTTTGAAGGTCCCTACCAAGGAAAAGTAAAATAAATATCAATAGAAACATACAGAGACCTGCTTAGCTATCAAATTACAAGAGCAAATGCACTTCACTACATTTGCCACGTTCACATAGATAAATGCCAAAGTTGAAGAAAAAAAAACTCTCCTAAGAAGGCTCAAAAAAGAGATTTACCAATTAATATCAAGAATACTACAAAAAAATATATAAATGCTATGGTGTTAGGCTCGCAAACACACCTATAGTACCAATTATTTGGCTAAGAATTTCCTTAACTCCAAAGAGGCAGAACAGAGGATGGTATGAAGTTCCAGGTAGTCAGCTTCCCTGAATTTAACCGTATTTTAAATCTTTAAACAACAACTAAAAAAGATTTGAAGAATTTGACATATTCCTTTTTAATTCACAGCAACCACAACAACTACAACAACACCCATGCCGACAACAACATCCACAACAACCTCTGGTATGACAAAACAGACCTTTTCAACATATGCCTTTTTGTATTCCTTGTGGCATTGTAACATGGCTTCTAGAACAGGCTACAAAGTTCTAAGAATGAATCTTGTTTCAATTTAAGTTTTTTGCCTTTCAGGATTTACTAATAATAATCAAGTTCATACTTTTCCACTTCCCTGGGGACAAAAGCATAACTAGATCTGTTTACTTCTGCAGAACCATTGTTCCTTGATGTGGACATTGTTTTGAGCATCCCAGCTGCCATTGTGCCATCAAATATCCCAGAGTCATTCCGAAGTGCTCTTCAAACAATAAACTACCCTATATCTCTTTCAAGGATAAATGTTTTACAAGTAAACTTGACTACCGGTAAGAGAATCTGGTCACACAGTTTTCTGGATAAATAGAATAGATAATATAAAATACAGATGGATGATTTTCCTTCTTTGATATCTTTATCAGTCTGCATTCCAAACTCCTATGATAAACTGCAGTGTGAATGTGAGGGTGGTTATGCTTTGCCATGTGACATGTGCAACAGCAACAACTCATGCAGTAACACCAGCAGTTCAACCTGTACATGCATAAATGGACTTCCTCCAAATGATGAGTTTTGCCAACCAGAAACCAGTAAGCTTTCTGTTCTGTTGCTTTGCTAATGGATTAAGCACACACAATTCTGGTTTAAGACAAAAACATTTTAATCTCTTGCTCTCCACAGATAACTCTATATGCCCAACACCTACTCCAGGTATGTACATCATATAGATCAAGGTTGTGACACAGTCTTTCCAAAAAGAAGGTTTACAAAAGCAAAAAGCTCTCTGAATCGCTGTCAGCAAAACATAAAAAATAAATAAAATAAAAAAAGGAAAATATGTTTCAAAGACAGAGAAAAAGCATTACAGCTACCAAGAAAGGGGAGATGGCGAAGAAGAATATTGTTGCTGGAGTTAATGTTAGTTCATATGAAGTGGGCTGGCCATTTTTACATTTAATCAAAGCACTCCTCTCTGATGTTCCATTTGTATATCACTAAAAAAAGATTCTTCCTGATCAAAATGATACTCCTAGACCTAATTGTAATGATATATCTTCTAAATTACATTTCTGTATCAGAAACTGACTTTTAAAATAAAACAAACAAGCCAAAAATATACTAGTAAGAATTAAAGGGGAACACCATTTTTTTTTACATTGGCCCCTTGATTTTACGTTATTACATCATGTTCTACTAACCCATATGAGTTTTGTGTCATTTGGAGCCGTTTTGAAGATATTCCATTAGGTTATATCCAGGTATGCTGATGAAGATTCTCAGTCATCCAGGTCATAATCATTCTGTAAAAGTTCAAAAAAATCCACTAGACTTGGTTTCCAAGATTTCCAAGATTTGAAGACTTTTCGCCACCTCTCCAGGAAGCTTTCTCAATTCAAATGTCTAGATCTGCAGTGAGTTAAGAGTTTTTATATCGACAAGGCCTTGTATTGCTTGGAAACATGCAAATGGAAACCGATTAGTGGTTTGTTTGGTTCCATTGTTAGCCCGTAATACCTGAAACCTGTCTATGATATTGAAGCCCGGTTGTTAAAGGGGGGGATTGTCGTTAAAGGGGGAGATTGTCTCCTGTAATACCTGAAACCTGTCTATGATTGTTAAGAGTCAGTCGTTAAGGAGGTATTGTTCACTGGCTGGAGCGGGTAGGTCCCTCGTTCCTCTGTGATTGGGTGGGGGGTGTGGTGATTTCTGGAAGGGATCATCTCTATCACTGATTTGTACGTTTTTGGAAGCTGGAATCTGAGTCCACCACCTCTGTTTAAAGTTGGTTTTTCTCTCTTTATATAAATGGCTTCCTTCACGCTCCTCTCAAACCACCTATTTTCTTTATCCAGAATGTGAACATTCTGATCCTCAAAAGAATGTTCTTTGTCCACAAGGTGTAGATGTACAGCCGAGTCTTGTCCAGAGGAGGCCACTCTTCTGTGTTGGGCCATGCGTCTGTGGAGAGGTTGTTCGGTTTCTTTAATATAAAGATCAGAGCATTCCTTGCTGCACTGAACAGCATATACCACTCCGCTCATGGTGGAAGCCATCTATGTTAAGAGAGAAAAAAACAACTTTAGACAGAGGTGGTGGACTCATATTCCAGCTTCCAAAACCCTTACTCCACAAGCACAATAAGAAATATTACGTTTAAGGTAAAAACTGAAGTAGAACAGCAAGAGAAATACGGTTCAACAAAACTGGATTTCTGGAATCTACTAAAAACTTTAATTTTAGAAATAAAGCAATGTTAAACATTCTGATTTCTATTGTTATAGTAACAACAACCACAGCTGCTCCGACGACAACGACGGCGACAGCGGCTCCCACAACGACCATGGCCACTCCGACAACAACCACTCTTTCTCCAACAACGACCCCGGTTGCTACAACAACAACCACAACAACCACTGCTGCTCCAACAACGACCACGACCGCTCCCACAATAACCACTGCTTCTACGACAATTACTTTTCCACAACAAAGAGGTACGAAAATTCTTGAATTACCGTAAAGCTCTCACACCTTCTTGTCAAAGACTTTATGTATTTTCCATTGTAAATAAAAACCATTCATGTCAATGTGATAGTTCCCAATGGAAAAGCATTATGACAAACTGCCCTACATTGTCATCCATTAGAAATGCATATCCAGTTTATTTTGGGTGGATGGGAGAGCAGAACTTGTCAATTTCTATATTTTTATGAATAATAAGCAGACAAGGAATAAAGTCAGAGTGAAGAATGTCTTAACAAAAAACTTTTGAAAATGCCTTTCAAATAATTTAGATTCACTGAACAATAACAGGATGATCTCAAAAGAAAAAATACTGGTAAAGCGCTGTCTACACAGGGTTAATTGAAAGTAAGATGTTTATAAATTGACTGGTGACCTACAGTTTGTATTTCAGGGATGTTTTTAATTTGTTAGTGTGATTTGTGAACATATTCTTTAGGCTTATTAATTTTGTCTACTTTCTTATAACAAACAAAATTTGCTCACAAAAAATAAGAAAGTTGGAGAGATGGGAATTTGATAAGAGAATTTGATAAGAGCCCATTAACTGAGGAACGTGTAGAGGGACGGGAGTGATCAAGCTCTGTGCTCCGTCACTTTTGTTAAGACCTTCAGCTGACTGCAAATACTCCACCATAATACAAGTTTCTGAAAGAGCAATGAGAACAACCATCTCAAATTTCTTCTTTAAAACTTTAGTATCAGAAATGAAATTTTAGCCGGTTTATTTTTCAGCATAACCTTTATATAATGTCTGACAAACTGTCCTACTTCTTTACCTCTGGATTTAAATGCATGAAAATCTTCCATTTGTCTTTCAATCTCCAGGAGTGACCTTTGTCCTAAAGATCCCAGCGTACTTTATACAAAATTATACACTTCAGATCTTCAGGAGCAGAGTGGATGAAGTATTCAATTCAATAACACTCCCACCATCTTTGAAAGTAAAAGAAATAAACTTGACCACAGGTAAAAAAAAAAAAAAAAAAACTGAATAAATAAGGAATATCTGCTGATGGAAAATATGGTATAAAATTAATTTTAATTGTCTGTCAAAGTCTGTTTTAAAGGAATATCTAAGGAACTGCGCTGTCAATGTGAGGATAATTTTGCATGGCCATGTGAAAGGTGCAACAGCAGCAGATATTCATGCAGTAACGTGAGCAGTGACTACTGTACCTGTAGAGACGGTATCTCTTCCATTAACGAGTATTGTCAGCCCCTCCTAAGTAAGCATATTGTTTTACTTCTTTAGCAAATCATTATTCTCCACCAAAAAAAAAAAACATGATTTACAAGAAATATAGAACCATAAGTGTAAGTATTAATACCTGTCTTTATGTTTGGTCCACAGATAATTCACGATGTCCAGGTATGGGAAGAAATAATTACTTATGCTCTTCATTTTATCATTTAGCTATAAAACGTGTGAGAACCATATTTTTTTATTTCCTTTTTTTTAGCTACTCCAACCACACCATTACCAACAACGACTACAGCTAAGCCAACCACAACTTCAACTATGCCAAATACAACTACAGCTAAGCCAACCACAACTTCAGCTATGCCAGTCATAAGTACAGCTTCGCCAACTACAGCTAGGCCAATCCCACCTAACCCACCTACAGCTAAACCTCAGGTTATACGTGGCAGAATTACCATAGACATTCCATTTGAACCCTCGTTTAATACGGAAAGCAGTCCATTTTATCAAGGCATTTATGATACCGTGAGTTCTCATTACTTTGTGTGACTATCTACATTTGTAGCGAATAATTTAATTTACAAAAGGTAAATGTGTTTATTCCTGGTCTTGGTCCTTCTTTAAACAGATTACCAGTCAATGTGGAGAGTGTAGCGCTACCCTGAGGCTTTCGTAAGTCAAATTTATTCTTAATATTTGCATACATTTGGTTTATTTGTCTTTCAAAATCAAACAGAAATACAACGTTCTTCTTAAATTAAATTAACTTTTATTTCCACAAATGTATGCCTTTAAACTGGTCAGTAACATTGAAACATGCATGGCACACCAGCTGCAATAATTAGAACACAGTAATTTACTGTGTACCTTTCTGTGGTTTTGCCCATCGGAAAGAGGTGTCAAGTAATGAAGGACAAGTACTAAAGTTCACTTTTTAGGTATCTTTACTTTACTCCATTACTTTTTTTTCTTCATACTTCTGACTTCTACTCATTATATTTTCACACAAGTATCTCTAATTTCTATTCTTTACATTTTTAAAACAAACGTTACTCGTTACTCTTGGCTTCGGTTTATTGCACAGATCATGGATTAGTGGACCGCGGTGTTATGAACAACATAAAATCCAAAGATTTTGTCCGGGGTACGGCTGATTTATTTGTAGTAGTCTCTTTTTATTCACACACAACAATAAACAGTGATGCTGACGGGAGGTTTGAAACTGCAAAGCTTTGTCTTCAGGTGAAAATCAAACGCGCATCTACACAGCACAGCGTTTACAGACAAGTGTGATGCATTTACGAGCGTCAGATAACAGAACTTAACTCCTACAATAATGTATTTATTCAGAAACAGCGTGGGCTTTCTTGCAATATTGAATGCTCTATAATTGTATTTCTGTTAATTTTTGATTATGCACACCTGCTAGCTTTCTATTCTAAAAAATCTATAATATTACAGCAGCAAATTATCAAAGTTTTTCAAAAGCCTGTTTAAAAGCTCTAAATGTGGCTTCAGATCATACAGCGACAATTGTTGATTGTCACTGTATGATCTGAAGCCAATGCCCCAGCAATTGTCATTGTTTTACAGGACAGAATTTGCATTTGCTGACCCTTGTCCTTTAACTACCGATGGATATACAGGAGTACAGTCATACAAGTGTCAACTCCTCTGAGATAGCACAGCATGCAATTTTTGGCAATTTCTATTTTTATTTTTTTATCTATTTATTTTTTATTCAATGTATAACATGAATGCATAAATACCTCATTTTATTTTAGTGTTAAATTCTGTTTAAAGTAACAGATCACTGGTTGATGAGTTTCTTTTTTTTCGGACCCCACTGATTTTTAATTGGTTTCCCTGGTTTAATGTTTATAAATATTTATTTCAGTCATGTGCTCCATCCAATGCAGATCATTGGCTCCATCCACATCTAGTGAAAACTAGTGTAGTTGGATGAGTCATATAACACAAACACTCATTGGTTAGCTAAAGGAAATCATCAGAAGCAAGCAGGTGTTCTTCAAACTGCAAACGTGAATTGTCATGCCATGCCATGCCATGAAATGCCATGCTACAATGTCGGATTCAGAAAAAGATGTTGAAATGTCTGAAAGGTCGGACAGAGGAGAGAGCGTACCGGGAGATGGAGATCAACAAGACCTCCCTCATCCTTGGCCCTATCTCAAAGAATTTTTCCAAAAAGTCGAAAAATGTAGCTTTCAATTCATATAGTGGCATCTGGCTGTTTTTTTTTAATGGTTAATTTATACTTTTTTACTTTAAGTAGTTTTTGGAGCACATACTTTTTCACTTTTACTTGAGTAAAGAGGTCAAGTTGATACTTTAACTTTTACCAGAGTATTTTTAAACTGCAGTATCTATACTTCTACTTAAGTAATAAATGTGTGTACTTTTGACACCACTGCCATCGGATTAATTTTTCTGAAAGAGGTCCTTTTTTCTGAGTGACTACAATGAGCATGAAGTTTTTAACGTATTTTCAAGAGGGATTTTCTTTATTACGACTTCTGCTGGAAGCATCCAGCATATAGGAGTACATTAGATCATTTCTTAATACAAGTTACTTTGTAGACATGACTTCAATACAGAATTGTACTTGCATATGAACACACAAATACAATACATGTTCTTGAAACCAGACATTGTTTTTTTTTAAGTGGAGAGAATGGGTGTTTTCAAATATTCGGGAAAATCCTTATGCCTTTATCATCATTGATTTATTATTACCACACTATATTGAATTTTATATCAAAGTTTTGGTGTTTTTAAAAACATTATTTATTTGCAACAACTTTTGAGATTATAAAAAATAAATCCATAGTAAACTTTAGGATTCCTTTTTTGATTTAAAGGAGGAAATATTTAATTCTTTTGTATTCTTTATTGCAGTCCAGGAAGTACCATAGCTGATTATAATATTACCTTTACACCCCCTGACACACTAACACAAGAACAAATTCTGAGACAAATGTCATTAAAATACCCAGTTCTCATTAACGGTAAGTAGACCTTAATAAATCAGGGGATAAATTGAATGTTTCATATTTATTTTATATTGTCTAAGGACAACTGAATAATGATATTGCTGTCTCTATGAAGGTGGAAATAAAGAACAGAGAGCGTATTCTGGAGATCCCCTCACTTTGACATGTGAACCTCCAAGCATTGATTTTAGTGCCGTTACTGTATTTTGGAGAAACAAAGGAAAAGTTATTGCCGAACAAAGTACTTTGACTAATGGAAAATCAGAATATAAATTCCCAAGGATTTTTAAGTTTGATGAAGGTAAGTAAGAAAATTGGTTATTATTTGCTTTTCCTTTTCTAATACATTCTGTTTAAATTAAATAGTTTGGCTGAACATATTGGTGTTGAAATGCAGAATTATTGCATCTCCATCTGCAGTTGATCCTGACCCACAAACTCAAAGTCCTATAGAAGTGTGGAGAAAAAAAGCTTAAGAAAATATTAAAGTACTTATATTGAGCCTAATAACACCATAACTTGCTATGGTTTAAAGTTTTGATATATATATATATATATATATATATATATATATATATATATATATATATATAAAAGAAAATTAGGAAATCTGATTTAAAATAGGCAAACTGATAAACACATAAAATCTCTAAATACATCTAGTTAATAAAGTAAAGCTTAAAATTATTAACATAACTAACATAAATGATTAAGATTCTTAACAGTATTTTTGACTAAAATTAAAACAATAAAGATCAGTTAAATCTTTTCAAAACTTAAATCACATTTTTTACCATTTCTGTAATTTCAGCTTGCGCTCACAGCAACATTTTTTGCTAAATTTCTTGTGCTAATGCTTTTGCTATGTAGTAAAGCGGATTTATCTGATGCTGTGGAACAGTTGGAAAGTATTATTCAACTCTACATCTTTTGGATATTGAATAGTTGTTACTCATTATTACAGTTAGGGATTTGTTTGTGATTTTGATAATGCAACCTCATAAAACAGCAACTCATAGAAATATTGGGTGTTGGAGAAAACATTTTTTAGGAAGTTAATAACAAGATTTATTAAGTATTAAAGGTCCTTTATCCTGCTTCTTTAGCCTTCAAAGTTTATTGTAGGCAAATATATAGAATTATATGATTCCTTTATAATTAATGTATGTCTTGTATTATTTTGTTTTATAACTGAGGTCTTTAAACCTCAAAGGAAAACACTTGTTCTTAAAATGAAGCTTCATCTCCCCACCTGGGTGACTGCCTTTTAAGGCCACTGAAGGCTGAACAAAGTCTGAGACCTCTTGAGGCAGTAAAAAACTAAACAAAATCATGGCTTAGACTTTAACTAAGAAGAGGTATCTGCCCTGTACAAGTTAGCTGATAAAAGATCCATTTTGTTTTAAGTTTAAGCCACAATCATTATCCTCAGTCCTACATCACGTTCTCCTGTTTTAAGAAAGTGCAATTTCTTTATAGTGCTGGCACAGTATAAGAGTAGGGTAGAGGCTTCCTGGTAGAGGTGGGCTACAGATGGGTATAATCATCCATAATTGTATTGATCCTTAGTATCCTCATTTTCTTTCAATCTATACAAGCCTTGTACCTTTGTCTTCTCTATTTCTCACTCTCTGTCTTATGCTTACTGCCCGTGCCCCCTCTGCTCTACAGATGGAGAGCATGGGGGTCTTGAGGGAAGTCATTCACCCCAACCAGAGTGAAGCAGGCACACTTTTCTCTATTTTCCAACCCTCTCCCAACTAGACTTTTCTGACTCCACCATATGCAAGGATACTGAACAGGCACAAAAACAGGAAGAGACACACAAACGGAGTATTAACAAGGTAGAAAGGCGAGGCAGAGCTGTGTGCATGAACTTTTAGGCAGATTCAATGACAAGGGCAAGTTGCACAGTAGAGAATGTAACAAGGCTGTGGAAAAAAGAAGCATTACAAATCATTTGTAAGAACATGTGAAAAATGGCAATGAAAAAATAGAAAAGGAGACACAATTCCCACAACGTCGTTCTGAAGGATCCTTGACCCAGAGACAGATAATTCTATAAAAACAGCAAGTATTCAGGTTATCTTCTGCATAATTTGCTCATGAAATGCAAAGTGCAACTGGTGGTAAATTGCTCAAATCATTTAAAACCATATTGTGCTATCATCTTGCTTTTTTATGTTACTTTCAATGGAAAGTGTCATTTTACAAGTTTAAAATAGGGCTCCATGGAGAACTAGTTTGTACCACTGCTGCCTTGCAGCAAGAAGATTCTGGGTTAGATTCCCAGCCCAGATTTTTCTGCATGAAGTTTGCATGTTCTCCCAATGCATACTCTTCGGGTATTCCAGCTTCCTCCCACAGGCCAAAAACATGAACGTTAGGTTAATTAGCATCTCTAAATTGTCCTTAGGTGTGAGTGTGTACGTGCATGGTTGTATGGCTTTGTGTGTCTCTGTGTTGTCCTTCTACAGACTGGTGACCTGTCCAGGGTGTACCGTGCCTTTTTCCCAGAGATAGGCAATGATCCTGATGGAATTAGCATTAGAAAATGGACAGATGTTTTTATCTTTATTTAGCCTGAAAATTTACAGTAGTACAGCAAGTGTATAGTATCATCAAAATGACCATAAGGACATATTGAAATATAATAACAATACACCAAAAAAAACAAAACCTATATGACAGTTTTTGGCATTTGTTTAATCATATTTAGTTACTTTAACACAATTGTTTCATTTTAGCAGGGCAGGACATACAACAATTGTATTAAAATAATTAAATATGTTTAAGCAAATGCAAAGAGCTGATGATAAGTTTAATAACAAGAAGAGTATGGAAAAACACTTTAACACCAAGAATGTATATATCCATAATTATTAAATGTATAAAGACAAATTCCTTAAATATGAAAATTAATGCAAAATCAAAAATTGATACCTTAATTGAATTGGCATAGACTTGCAGTTATTTATTTATTTTTTTTGTCTTTTTTTGTTGTGGTGTGTTACAATATTTTATTGAACTCGGGAAAAAAAATATAAAAGTGGATTAATAGAAAAAAAATATAGGCTCTCAATGTCAAACAAAATATTTTAAATTTTGTTATTGTTATTGTTTTACTGTATTTCCATGTGCTTATTTTGGAAAAAAATGCACTCACATTTTTCTGATTGGTCTATTTATTATCTTTAGATTTTAGTATTTCATACACACATTTTTCCTACATCTTAACAAAACTATTCCACAAGAAAACAATAAGAACAAAAAAAAAAAAAATCACAAAAATACAGAGTGGTTATAGGTTTTAGGACTGTATTAAAAGAAGTCATTGGAGATACTGACAGTGTATTTACTTGGTATCAGGTCAATATAAGAACTAAAGGTATCACACATTTTTACTTCTTGTAGGGAGCCTGAGAGATATTCTCCAACCATTTGTTTTTTATAGGACAGGGAGGGGTTGCTGCTCCCAGAACAGAGTATTTCTTAGAGATGCATGAATCCAACGAAATACCATTTTGTTGTTGATTCTGATAAAGTAATAGCATTATACGATAGTTCAATCTGAAAAACTGACACAAAGAGAAAAGACAATTAGGAGAAATTTATTGATACAATTACTTTCTCTTTGGCGTTCAGACCTCAGCAGGAAACATAGCGCTTAATTTTGACAGACATGCATAAACAGGAGTAAAGAGTACTGCTGTTTCCCTCCCAGGCCTTAAACTGGGGGTGGAGTGGAGATAGATGAAGTTGGTCAATCTGTAGACTGCTGGTTAGAGAGACGGTATGCTGAGCTTTATGGGGAGATCCAGTGGACTGCTTGAGCTGATACTAGAGCTTCACTCAGGGACCTGGAAAATGGAAGTCCAGTTGGATAACACAGGTTGAGAGAACCTGTTAATGATGAGCAAGCATGAAGTGACAGTGGAGAGAAAAAAACTCCCTGTTGAAAAGAAACCTCTGGCAGAACCAAGCTTAACATGGTGGACTTCTGCCGTACCGGTTAAGATGAGACAGGGAAAGCAGTAAGAGTCCGGGAGGGATGACACCCTGATGAAGCTTTAGCCATGATGGTGGAGGAGGGGCTGGAGGTGGGTTGAAATGGGGTCATCTGAATGAAGTTACACAGCGCATCCTCCGGCTGCGCACAGGAGCAGACAAGAGCGGATCGGAGGCCTTTTAAGATGCACTTTGGATGCTTATTGGCTTTTGTGGAGGTGTGGTTCAAAGCTGATTGGCTGTGTCGCAGGTGGATGAAGGAAAGCAATGAGTTTCTTCAGTTTGATTTCTGCCTAGGCTCCATTCAAAGGCAAAAAAGTTGATTTGCTTGATACAAGCCCTTTAAGTAAAGTTCAGACTTTCTACAACACATGAATAAATGAACGAAATAATTTAGAGTAAAATTTTAATACAGCTTTTCAACTCCCAAGTTTTCTCTCTATCTTCCTCTCTTCCTGTTTGTGAGTCCTAACTTCACTGACTTTTTTCTTTTTTTTTCCCCTAGGAGAGTATGAATGTGAGATAAAATGGGGAAGTGGTTCAAGGTTCATTCAGAAGGTAACGTTGAAATCCATAACACTCCCGGACATCGACGCAGATCCAGACAGAGAAAGACTGAAATGTTCTGATACTAAGCAACTGTCATGTAGAGTAAACGATGGCTTCACAGTCAAGTTGTTTGATTCAGAAAATCAAGGTAAATGTTTTATTAACACGCCAGTATAATTATTAATAACACTTTTTACAATGCAAAAAAAATAACAATAATTTGAGAATTTATCCTCCTTACTGCACCACCAGAGGTACTTATACCACATCTCTATAGAGTCCCAGAGAACTGTGCAGAGAGGGAGGTGAAATACAGATGTGAAGCAACATCAGAGGAATATAAATCACTACCGGCAAAATCAAAAGAAATCACACTACAACTAACCGAAGCGGGTTAGTATTATTTGACAAAGAATGTATTCCCCTGCAGTTTTAGGAATTCAAATATATGCTTACATACAGTCCTAAATTTTGTCCTAAAAACATTTACTTATTTCTCTAGAGAGCTTTCTTTGTGAGGATAGGATCTATGGAAATGCACAGCTTGGTGAGATTGGTACTGCAGACTGTGATGAAGACGAGAGGGGAGAAAAGACAGCAGTTTGTTATGCAGATGGGGAATTTAGAGATGAACAAAACAACTGTGTCCTTGCAGTGATTGCAGATCTGCTTGATCAATCAGAGGTGACGTTTTCTTTTTAAACACTAGTAAATGATTGATTTCTGTTAGTAATGGTACTTGTGTTGCATTATTTTTCAGAGGAGAGAAAACCACTGTCCTCTAGATGATTGTTCCGAATGTATAGTGACTGTCATTTGCTATGTAGTGTTATTTCCTTTTTTGTATATGACATATTTAATAAGATGGAATAAAACCAAAGATTTTGATTTTTTATGTTTAATTAAAGAGATTTCAAAACATATTTTAGTAGGAGAGAAAGGAATAATTGTTTTTAAAAGTTTAGGGCTTTTTTCATCACAAACAAATTCTAAAAGAAAAATATTTTTTTTAGGTATAGCAATCAAAAAACATACAGAAATATCTGTACTTTCAGGGATAATTATTAAGATTTTTTTTCTGTTTTCATATGATAGAACTTGAATGAAGTAACAATTCCCATTTTCTTGGAGGACCTTAAAAATGCGACTGCTGCAAATAATGTAAAGATTGTTGAGTCTCCAGCAACCATCATTGCTATGGTTAAGATCTTTGAAAATGTCGCCAATGTATCATCATATTTGGAAATCAGAATAAGTGATAATTCAACAAGGGTAGGTACATCTAAACATTTAAACATACACAGGCACAATGGAACTATGTCTTTTTAAAATTATGTGGTTTTTCTTTCACTTTGTTCTGTAGAATTTCCTAGAAAGTGCAGGCCTTCTAACAATTGATGACTCAAGGAAATCCTGGACTTTACTCAATTTGAATGACAATAATACAGATGAGGGATTAGGAAGAAACAGTTCCAGCTCTTCATTCTTGAATGTTTTTGAGAGGTTACCAGATTTTATAAGCAATGATTCATTGGAAATCAACACAGATTTTATTCTCCTGAACAAAACAGAACTTACAGATCCTTTCAGAAGAGAATTTAACTCCTCAGTGGAAATAGAATTACCCGAGGGGGGTGGAGAGAACAAACTAATTACCATCATAGTTTTTGCCTCCATGTACAATGTGCTTCCTGGAAGAGATGAACTCAACAACACATCCAACCGTGTCCATGGAAGGGTTGCTCTTGTTAAACCTGAAGTTAAAATCTCAAATATTACATTAAATTTTGAAGTAATAAATTACACAAATGAAACCATAGAAAACCCCAAATGTGTTTTTTGGGATTTTGACCTGTTTGACGGTCTGGGAGGCTGGAGTGACAACGGTTGCTCATTAGTGTACTTTGAAAATGAAACAGTCAGCTGCAATTGCAACCACACCACTTCCTTCTCTATTCTAATGTCACCCAACAGCCCAAAGAACCCTATTCTGGACTATATCACCTACATTGGAGTTGGCATTTCTATGCTTTGCTTGGTCATTTGTCTCATCATTGAAGCAATCATATGGAGAAAAGTTAACAAGAACACAACATCGTATTTGCGCCATGTCGCTATTGTCAACATCGCTTTGTCTCTCCTCATTGCAAACATTTGGTTCATTATTGGAGCAGCTATTTCAGATGTAACCAAGTCAAACAACCCAGCATGCACAGCAGCTACCTTCTTTATTCATTTTTTCTACCTCTCCATGTTCTTCTGGATGTTAGCCAAAGGCCTGCTGTTGCTTTATCGCACCCTTAGTGTGTTTGATGGAGGACTGTCTAAAATATCTATGCTGATCATTGGATTCTCTTTGGGATATGGTGCACCACTGATCATTGCCACAATAACTATAGCTGCAACTGCTCCCTCAAAGGAATACATACGAGATGAAATCATCTGTTGGCTCAACTGGGACGAGTCCAAAGCTCTGCTGGCCTTTGTGATCCCTGCACTCATGATAGTGTGTATAAACTTCATCATCCTGATTGTGGTATTATACAAAATACTGAGGAGAAGAGTAGGAGGAAATGCAGCCCAAACAGGAGAAAAGCACGTTCTGGTGGTTATAACCAGGTGTTTGGCTGTGCTAACACCGTTTTTTGGAATAACTTGGGGTTTGGGAATCGGAACCATGGCTGCTCCTGAAAACATAGGAATCCATATTGCCTTCGCATTCTTCAATTCATTACAGGTAACATTTCAACTGTTTGTTAGACTTTAAAGTTTATGACATTACCTTTGTAATGAAAGTGAGAAACTATTAAATTATTGTTTTTTTCCCTAAAGGGTTTCTTCATTCTTGTGTTCGGAACACTGTGGGACAGTAAGGTGAGGAATCTTTAATTGCAAATACTCAAGTCTTATGATGTTTGTACATTCATAAGTGAATATATTGACACTGGGAGATGCTCTGTAATTACTCTTCTGCAAATTAACTTTTCAGGTGCGATCAGCAATGGCAGTACCGTCACTGACATCAAACAGTAGAACAAGAGTAAGAATAGTTGTATTGTTTCAAGGTTTTTTCCTATTAAGTATTTTGGGGTGAATTCTTACTGAAAATGTAATTCTCATTTTAGAGCACATCTGCTGGGACCTCCTCCAGTGGACTAACCAACTTTTTCCAAAGATTTAAAAGAGGTATGCTATTTGGAAAACAAATAAAACATTTTCTGACGATTTAATTTTTGTTTAGATACCACATTTTAGATTTAAAAAAAGGAAAGTGTCCTTTGGATAGCAGCGTAAAAGATGTTGACATTTTTTATAGTGTTATTATTTACATTCTTATTTCAAATAATAAAAAGATAAGGACACATACAGCAAAGCTTGAATTAATAGTAAAATATCAAGAAGTACTTAAAAGATAAAACTACTATAACTTTCAAAGTACATGAAAAATGTATTGTTCTAACATCATAACTTGTATAAAAAAAGATATTGTTTAAAGATCCATTTTTGGAACACAATATATGTTTAGGTTGTACTCAAGCTAACGGTAGTGTAGATAAACAGTTTAGAAAATATACAAGAACTGATCAAGTTCTATTTCATGCTCAGGTTGAGCCACATTGTTAATGAACAAATTGGACAGTATTTTAATAAGCATGCATACACAGAATAGGAACTTAAAACAAAGCAAGTTGTACATGAGGGAGAATAAATCTGATTTGATGGGAGTGACTAGCCTAGTAAACTAGCCCCACCCACCAGCGGCTAAAATAATTCTTGCCTACAAGTGCTCTAGCCTTGATCAATGCCCCAGGCCCTAGAACTGGCTGGCCAATCACAACGCAGAGATGTGTTGACATTTTTGGATGCAAAGCGGGCGGGGTTTTGAGGGCATGACGACAAAGCTGCGCGATGCTGGGGAAAGCATAACAAGGATGATGGCAACAACTATTGAACAGTTCTCATTTGACTCAGCTTTGGATTCAGTTTAGGAAGGAATAGACTTGGGGTTTTGGTTGAAATGTGAGCAGGAAGAGGCTACGCTCATTCATTTTTGAAAAAGACGCATTTGCCGTTTTACCAACAGGCTGTTTCTTTACACTCCCTCATCAGCTTTCTGTCTCGATCACTACCTCACAGTCAGTTGCGCTCATTGTTCATAGCATTGGCCATTAGGCACAGACCTGGTTTGAAAGACAAAGGGTTGTTCTCATCAACAATCTTCTGTTGTGTCATTCATCGGGGCCAGACTAAATTACACATTTAATCTCACATTTAGTCTGGTTTATCAGGCTAGGGCGTGGCAGCAGTTTTTATTAACAAGGAGCTAAGGAGGCTCTATGGATTCAATCAACACCCCCTAAACTGCCCAAAAAGCAGTTTGGTAGTCACATAGAGTATCATGAGACATTTCCTGAAATATCTTGACCTTAATGGGATTATACAAATGCCCCAAATAAGTATGGCATTTAGATTCCTATTAGAAATTTAAGTTATAT